GAAGAACCTGAAACTTGGTGCATACTTCCAGAAACATTACAGACTGGTGGGAGTATAAACACAGAACCTTTTATCATATGAGTTTCTGCATTCAGATCTGAAGCATGTCATGGCATTAAGAAACTTTCAGCCATTAGAAATATCCAAAATCAGAGAAGTTGCCCAACAAATTCTTGTTTCTCTAAAGGCACTTGGGAAATTCAAGATGGTTCATTGAAATATTAAACCAAGCAATATTAGACCAACTCAGACATACGATGTAGACTGTGACCACTTAAATGTGAAGTTGTTAGACTTTTGTTATGCGTCAACATCAACTAATGAAACAGAAGAACATGATACACAGCATATGTTCTATACGCCTTTTGAGATAATGGTGGGTCTTCCATTAGGCAGGGCGATAGATATGTGGGGTCTTGGCTGCACCTTAGCTTACTTATATCTTGGTCATGACTTGTTTCCTCGGTCGGAGTATGATGCCATGAGTTTAATGTTGCAATTGCAAGGTAAGCCCAGAAATTCGTTACTAAAATTGGCCAAATTAAAGGAAATGTTTTTCACTGAAGACGAAAAAGGAAAAACATGGAGGTTTAACCCTCAGGCTCAAAATAAGTTTTGATAAAAGGATGAACAACTAAGTCCTTCAGGGGTACTTCTGAGTTAAAAAAAATGCTCATGAAATACGAATGTGGAGTAACCAGGTAGGTAGGTTTAACGTTGCGAATCTGCAACGCCTGCCTCCAGAGGGTTAACACACATGAAGAATTCAATAAGAAGAAGAAAAAAATATTCTACTGAAGAACTCACAAACACACTTACGAATCTTTTGAAGATTTGTTTCAAGTCCCCACATTACCTGAAGACCAGGAAAACTCTGAAGATGTCATAGAATTTCTAGATTTACTCAAGAAAATGTTGGATCTGGATCCAAATAAGCGAATAACCCCCACTAAAGCTCTGAAACACAAATTCATAACTATGAAATCTGCCATTCCTGACGACAATAATGAATCTCCAGGTAAATTCAGTGTGAAAGACGCCCTGCAGACGCCAGCAAAATGCTTTTGTAAGTTTGTTAGAAAAATGTTTCGCAAGATCACCTGCCTAGGTGAGTCGAAAACAGAACCTCAGCAGAAAGAGGTAAGAATAAAAAACACATTTTACTAGAGGATTCAACGTTTCTTTTCAAGGAATCAAATACGACGTTTCAAACGATCCCTTTTCACTATAAATGTCACGTTTTGTCTAGCTTTAGTTTTTAATCCAAAAGTGAAACCGTAGCGCCGTCCTCTTTCTGCATGGGTGTTAGACCGCAGGGTATTAATTAAATCTTGGACGCAAATATCTGGACGACGAACATATAGACAGATTGAGACCTTAGGTGTGTTGATGTTCTGCTAGAGAACATCAAACTATTTGAAAGAAAAATGAAGCAGATTTTTAAATCGACTGCAGTGAAGCTGTTAAAGTCTGGACTACAACCTGTAACACAGATTAATGAAATAGCCTCGTTAAACGACAGTAACGAAGTCTGAACTTTTATTTTTCGTTGTCTCTGACAAATTATCAGACTCTGTTTAGGTCATCTTTATCCTGTGCTGTACTGGCAGAGGTCAAAATGTTACTTTCTGATGGTCCTACAGTGTTAATAAATGATGAATCATAAAATGTGTCAAATGTAAAACTTTGGACTGATAGATTAATACCTGAAAAAAATCCTGTTGATAAATCAGTAAATAGTTAATATTTAGAATAATAGTGTGGAGGAGGAATGACGACACAAAGGTAAGTTTCATTCACTAGAAATCATTAGAAAATCCTAATGTTTTGTTAATTTTATTTAACTTTTTCTAATCACTTTTTTGTTTTACATTTTCATTTTATTTCACAGGATCAATGCTTAAATATTTACAAGGAGTTCCATGCAGCCAGGAACTGAAGATGCTGAAGATGAGGAACCATTTTCAAACACTGATCAACAACACCAGCATCCCGAAAAACTCCAGCAGCCATCTACTTCCACTTCAGCACACTATGTTGAACCCTCTAGTGGCGTTACACAGACACAACACTTGTGTCAGAAGGTACTGTACACACACCCATCTTGGAAAGCCCTCCAGCAGGTAATGAGGAGTTGTTGAGGTTATTTGGTAAATTTTGGAACCAACAGTTGTTATGTTAACATTTTGTAATGCTGCTCTGAAGAAAGTTTTATATATTTCTGATATGGTATTTATATGTTGTTGCAGCATGACTAGAGGGCTGGTGCAAACTTACAGGGACTGTAACAAGTTCTAAAAGTACATTTGGAAATTTTACTCAACTCAGCAAATTATCCTAAAAAATAAACTCAGGTCAACACACTGAATTTAAAATCTACCTAATTTGAAAACATTGACTTCCTGATGTTGGGGTAATTAGGAGCGAGTAATTAGTAATTAATTAATTACTTTTGGATTCTTCAATAAATTCTGTAAATATGGGAATATTTACCGATGTATTAATTAATTAAGATACTCTTACGTATCTTATGGGGCACCACCCCTTTAACCGGGGAAAAATTGAATCCAAAACTCTTATCAGTCTTTCTTGAAGTCGTGGAATCCGTCAGGAGCAGAGACTTTACATCGACACAAAGAAATCTATTGGAGACAAATATGAATTTTATAACATTTAATTAAACAAGGAGATTAATAATGCAAAACAATTTGATATAATTGGAGATGTGTGTGTGTGTAATGGAGGATGTCCCCACAAACACTAAAAACACGTATGAGTGTGTGTGTGTGTGTGTGTGTGTGTGAATGAATGCTTCGTCCTCCCAGAGCACTAAAAACACATACGTGTGTGTGTGTGTGTGTGTGTGTGTGTGTGTGTGTGTGTGTGTGTGTGTGTGTGTGTGTGTGTGTGTGTGTGTGTGTGTGTGTGTGTGTGTGTGTGTGTGTGTGAGATGGAGGATGTATGAATGGGGCTTTGTTTTCCCAGGTGTGTGGGGAGTGTGTGTGTCTGATAAGGCTGACTTTCCTCTCTCAGATGCAGACAAAAGGGAATTAGCTTGCATTTAGTGGCTTAAAAATCACAGTAAAACTTAACTGTAACACTTCAAAAGTTTAGACTCTTAAACAACAAAGGTCACTCGGTAAATTATCTAATCTAAAAGAGAAGTCGACCAGCCTGGCCAGAGCTGGAAACTATTTAAAGATATTAACGATGACAAAAAAACAGTTTACTCTCTACCAAATAACCCTGTGAGCGGATTTTGATACGGAAGAAGAGAAAAACCGTCTGTTAATTTGAAGCAAGTCACGCGGTCGACTGCTTATCTTGGTCTAGAAGAGATGAGAAAAGGTAAAAGTTTAAATGAAATAAAAACTTGCAGGAGAAAACAGCTGTCTGAGCGAAGGCAAGGCGTTCCTTGTGAAGTTCGCTGGTCAGATGTGATTTACGCTTCTCCTCCCACGAGTGTCTCTCCACGGGCTGGACACAGAGAGAGCAAAGTTTCTTTGTGCTGAGTTTGATAACTTACAGCGAGCTTGATGGAGCTGGAGTTCCTTTTCCAGCGGTTCTGTGTTTGATCTGCTCCAGCAGCCAGCCTCCCGCTGGCTCACGTTGATCAGAGCAGCAGCAACAGCGCGTCCTTAAAGCCAGTGAACTGGGCATAAGAACAGTTAAGTTACGTTTTTCGCTGAAACTTATAGTTTTTGAGCTGGTTTTTGTGGTGACATCATCACCTTGCTTCCCTATGCAAAGCATCATGGGAAATGAAGTGTCTCTTGGCACTGACGTTATTATCTGCTTTTTCAGAGCAATTTAAGCACAGTCATTTTGGAGAAAATCACTGCATAGTAATTTCCTCATGAGGGCAGACCCTCAACACTGATGTACTGCCCAACAGCCTCGTGCTTTTCTACTCTGTCCCACAGAGCTGCCAGGGGTCCAGGATCTGCAGCCCGGATTGTCAGGGCCGGTGTCAGTACAAGATCTGCTCGGGTGCAAGATCGGCTCGGGTCCGTCGACTGCCGATGATGTCTAAGTAGTTGATTGGCTGAACATGAACCTTACGGAATTACGTAATCACGTAACGTTGTTATCACGTGACGTTGGTCCAGGCAAATTTTTCTATTGGAAAGATGGACAACTTTTACAAAGAAATCCATCATTACCTCTTTGAAAATACACTTTTTGCATAGAGCTGCAAGTATATTAGGGCTGAACGATTAACTGCATGTGCAATTAAATTGCGATGTGACAAAAGGAGATTTTCTAATGGCAAAGGCTGCAATTTGGCAGCAAGTGGTTAGCGCAATGCTAATATACATGGAAAAACCCATAGGAATGCTAATGCTAATATCGCCGATTACATTATTACAAATTATGAATTAGAAACGTGCCAAATGATTACATTTGGAGTCTAATAGAAAGTAAAACTACCATCAATCAAATAAGTACAGACAGGTATTTTAGTAAAGCCAGAAAACTTTTAACTCCAGAGCTTTGGCTAGCAGCTATGAGCGTAACTGAACTACTCATGGACAAGACGTCAAAAACTCACCACAAATACTTCAATAAACGGGACACACTTCTTTCCTGCAAATACAATTTCACAGGTGTTGCTAATACCATATGATCCTTCAAGGGATGTGCTCAAAGAGGAGTTCAACATGAATCAAATATAGTGTTTTATTTTACAAATACTATTATAAACACAAACTTACGTCTTAAGAAACATTATTTTAATAACGAAACTGCTAAATTCTTTCCAACAGTATAGATGTGTAGTGTATTTTGTCCGAGTGGGTTTGCCGTACTTTGACGTCATCGGCAGTCGAAGGACCCCGAGCAGATCTTGCACCCGAGCAGATACTGTACCGACACCGGCTCTGGGTAATTTGGTGCCCAAGGCCAGAGTGCCCATTTGCGCCCCCCCCCCCCCCCCCCCCCCCCGCCTCTCACCCAAACCCAAGTCCACACATTGGAAAAAGCAACTCCACAGTTATTCCTTAGTTACTAATTTTTTATTTTAAATGTTCACACAGCAACTCTTTAAAGTCAACAGCCTGAAGAATAAATGTAAGCTTCAAAGATGAGTAACCTGAGAATATTACAATAACCAACAACTCAAAATGTTGTGCAAATGTCATTGGGGGGGATGCAAAATCAACAACTGTGCAATCAAAAGCAAAACTCAAACATCAAAGTGTCATCATAAAGAAAGTTCTACTTTCCATTTTGTTCAACTGCTGTGGCCAGTCAGCAGGATCCATGGGGCCAGCAGCTCATACATGTTCACAGACATCTGTTGAAGCTGATGATGGTGTTTCTTCAGGCTGTTGGATTGGAGCACTGAGTCTGCTGGTGTGGTGTTGGGTTCCTCTTCTGTGAGAAAATAAACACACACACACACAAAACAACTTAACCCTCTGATGCATGAATTAAGAACAGTGCCACTTTCACATTCAGTATTCCTCAGTCATGTGCAGTGATGCTTTTCACTATTTTTAATATTACTGGACTTTTTATTTTATTGATCTTTTTAAATCTGTTCTATGAAAACATGAATAAAATTATCAAAAACAGGTGGAAGTGAGCGCATCCATGGGGAATATTTGAAAAAAACTTATGTCTCACTCTCAGGTGCTCTTCAGCATCAAATAAATAGTAGAACATGAGGAAGAAGGTCCGGTGATCCGAGGCACTCTGAGGATTTCATTTATTAAACAAGGAAACACGGACACGTTTCGGTACCACCTTCTTCAGGGCATAAACCTTTATACCTTGAAGATGACTCACTATGTCACAAAAACTAATGTCCATCCTTTTTTACAAATTTACAGCCTAACTGACAATAACATCTTAAGGAGACTATTTCAGATGTGTATGTTCAGATTATTTAATATTCTCAATGCTAAATCAATGCTGCACTGATTGTGCCAAAAACAAGTGTCTGGTGTGGATTTAAATAAATTAATTTTGCATATCGATATATGTGATAAGCCGTTTAATTTGGAAAAAGTCCGTTTCTACTGCTGATTACAAATAGCCTAACATGTAACTTACTCACCTGGTTCTAGATGCTGAGACTGTAGCTCAGTAATGTGCTGCTGCTGCTGCGTGATGCCTGGATGAAGACGCTGCAGCGAAAACAAGAAAGAGACGGCATAAGATGTCATGCTGTGTTTAGGCAGTTCTCACTCTCCGCCGGGCCCGGCGGCAGCGGGGGAGTCACCGCCTCGGCCGCGGCGGTGCCGCCCGCCCGATGTGTCGGACAAAGTTGAAAATTTGCTACACCCACACCTAACGTTCTTCTGATATACAAATATTAAATTCATATTGTATGCGTACTTAAAACTTGAAACAAAGTTCATAAAAGGCTGCAATCAAGCTCCAAAAACCAGTAAAAAATCTTACATTCTTCATCATCACAGTGAGACTCAACATTGTCTCACTGCATCTGGATACGACGATTCAAAAGTAAAATGAATGGGTTAAAGTTACAGATACTGTATTGTGTGTGTAAACAGCTAGCGAGGGTCCGTCCGTGGACCGTGCGTGGCATGAGAGACAGTTAGCTACAACGCTAACGCAAAAAGTTCCTTTGCAAAACTTATAAAGTCTACATACCTCTGCTTTGGGCCCGTTTTTATTCTTCTTCCTTCCTTCGCTTTCGGAATGCTGATCCCGATGGCTTAGGCGTTCTTTTCATCGTAAAATATCAAACGTTTAAACGCGACAACAGGAAGTCCTTCTAAAGTGCCACCCACACACGTAATCGCTATGGCAACCTTAACGGTCAAATGCATCGGAGCGGTGGCTCAAGCGGGAGCTCGAAATGCAGCCAGATCGTTAGAATTTAAATATTGATGTTTTAATTTCATGTCATTTCAAACGGGGAATTTTGAGTATTTAGAGAGTGCATTTCATATTACAAACATGAATTTAATGAACTTTTTTTTTTTTTTTTTTTTTTGCGCCCTATCCATCAGATGGCGCCCCAGGCGGCCGCCTGTGTCGCCTGTCGACAAAGCCGGCCCTGCGCATTGTAGTTACTGAGGAGCTCAGTAGTTGAGGGTTCTTGTTGTAGGTCTCTTGCAGCCTGCTGAGTAGTGTTGTGGCATACTCTGTAATCAAAATAATTTAAGAATCAGTTATATATAAACTGAATATTTATTAAACAAAGAAAAAAAAAACATTTACCATACCTCTCCCTGGGCTGCCACCTTACCGTGGGGGAGGGGTTTGAGTGTCTCAATGATCCTAGGAGCTAAGCTGTCTGAGGCTTTCTGCCTAGGTCACCCATGGCAAACAGGTCCTAGGTGAGGGATCAGACAAAGAGCAGCCCATAGACCTCTTATGATGAATTTTATAAATGGAAACTGTGTTCCCTTGCTCGGACGTGGGTCACCGGGGCCCCCCTCTGGAGCCAGGCCTGGAGGTGGAGCACATTGGCGAGCGCCTGGCGGCCAGGCTTTCACCCATGGAGCCCGACCAGGCACAGCCCAAAGAGGAAACGTGGGTCTCCCTTCCCATGGGCTCACCACTCGTGGAAGGGGCCAAAAGGGTCGGGTGCAGTGTGTGACGGGTGGTAGTCGAGGGCGGGGACCTTGGCGGTCTTATCCTCAGCTACAGAAGCTGGCTCTTGGCACATGGAATGTCACTTCTCTGGTGGGGAAGGAGCCTGAGTTGGTGTGTGAGGTTGAGAGGTTCCGACTAGATATAGTCGGACTCACCTCAACGCATGGCTCTGGCTTTGGAACCGGTTTTCTTGAGAGGGGTTGGGCTTTCCACCACTTTGGAGTTGCTCCCACTGAGAGGCGCCGAGCAGGAGTGGGCATACTAGTTGCCCCCCATCTTGGTGCCTGTACGTTGGGGTTTACCCCAGTGAATGAGAGGGTAGCCTCCCTCCGCCTACGTGTGTGTGTGTGTGGGGGGTGGGGGGGTGGGGGGGGGACGGATTTGACTCCGCATAAGCGGATGAAAGTGGATGGATGGATGGAGTTTAATGATTAAGAGAACAAAACAAGTTTAGAACAAAAACAAAACAAGTGAAGTGTGGGTTTTATTTTCATGCTGATATTTTGTAACTAAAACATACATACAAGTTTTGATTCAATTTTTGAATAATTTCTAATCTGAAAAAAGTGACATTCTGCAGGTGTGTAAAGTGCACATCCACTTCATGGACGTATAAGTCTACTTCCTGTTCTGATCAGGCTACAAAAGGGGCGTGGCTTTAACTTCCGTGAGGACCAGTTTAGTAAAAGGGGGGTGATGAAGGGATGACTCACTCTGATTGCTGTTTTTATTTGGTAGATAAATATATTAAACACCTACTAAAGAAAAGCAAAAACAAGCTAATAAAAATGATCAAGTAAATACCAAAAATAAAACGTAAGAAAATGAACAAATCAAGAATTAAAGGCATATTCTGCTGTCTAGC